AAGTGTAAAGCAATTTAGAGCGGCAGTTACAAAATATGCTATAAAAAAGGAATTGAGTTAGATAAGTATGTGAATGAGAGTACGAGAGTGAGAGTAAAGTATAAAAGTGGTTGTATTGTTGTATGCAAGCAAGGAAGGAAGGAGTGAAACTTTACTATCAAGACATACAATCAAAGGCATAAATATACCAGTACCACCAATAATATTTTGTGTAATTCAAAGTTATTATGCAAGTATCTGAAAGATAGGATTATTTCTCAAGCTAGTATAAAAAGGTGGGAGATACAAGAATTGGCGAGGAAAGAGTTGAATGTTCATGTAGGCAAGACAGTTTGTTTAAAAATAAGAAAAATTATTTTAAAGGAAATTATGGGAGATCATATGACAGAATTTAATAGAATCCTAGACTACAAGGATATGTTACGCCAAACAAGTTCTGGTAGCACTTGTGTTGTGAAGCTTAAAGATTCAGAATCAGGAAATGGGATGAAACAATTTCACTCTTTTTATATTTGTTTTGATGCTATGAAAAAGGGTTTTCAACAAGGATGCAGAAGATGTATAGGGCTGGATAGGGTGTTTTCTAAAGGGAATTTGTAGGGGTCAACTTTTGGTAGCTGTTGCAAAAGATGCAAACAACCAAATGTATCCAATAGCATGGGCAGTAATTGATACTGAAAGCAAGTTGACATGGAAATGGTTCATAACCATTCTGAAAGATGATCTTAATCTAGGAAATGGTTCCCAGCTAACTATCATTAGTGATATGCAAAAGGTAATTGAATATCTTTCTTTTGTTTATGTTTAATGTAATTGCTAATTTAATTTGACTAAAATTTAACTTGCTTTTTTTTTTTGCTTTGCAACTACAGGGACTAATAGCAGATGTTGATGAACTATTTCCAGAATGTGAGCACAGAATGTGTGCTAGACACATATTAGCAAATTGGTCACAAAAAACTTCAGAGGCTTAGAGAGAAAGAAGAAATTTTGGGCTTGTGCTAGATCAACATTTAAGGCACAATTTAAGTACAATATAAATGACCTGTCCAAGCTGGGAATATGTCTTGTTGAATCCCTTATCAAATACAACAAGGAGACATGTTGCAAAGCTTTTATTCAAACATTTTCAAAGTGTGATAGTATAGATAGCAACATGGCAGAGAGTTTCAATTCTTGGATCTTGGGACCTAGGAACAAGAACATTGTAACTATGTTGGAAGAAATTAGAGTTAAGGTGATGAGTAGAGTGAGTAAATCAAGAGCATTTGCTGAAACATGGACAGATGGAATATCTCCAATGGCAATGATGGTATTCAATACAAATGTAACAAGATCAATGCAGTGCAACATTGAATGGAATGGTGATGTTGGATTTGAAGTGTTAGAAGGGACATACAAGTATACTGTGAACTTGGGTCAACAAAAATGTAGTTGCAGATCATGGGAATTAAAAGGTATCCCATGTGCACATGGTATAGCAGCAATGAACCACTTGAACATGGATGCATCACAAGCAATATCTAGTTGGTATAGAAAAGACACATATATAAAGACATATTTCATTTCATTCAACCAGTCCCAAACATAAAAATGTGGCCTGAAAGCAGAAACCCAATGGTTGAACCACCTGAGGCAAGACAAATGCCTAGTAGGCCACCAAAGAACAGAAGAAGAGAAATTGGTGATGTGAGAAAAGCTGGAAAGTTGCCAAGAATGGGGACAATAATGACATGTTCATTTTGCAAAGGACCAAATCATAACAAGAGAAATTGTCCAAAAAATTCTAAACTAAGTCTACACCAACACCCAGTTAAGAGGTACATTCATATTGATTTGTTTTTATAAATTATTTTAGATTACTTATTAAATTTAATGTCTTGTTGTGTTTTTTTTTTCACTCATATTAGTCCACCACTGGAAAAAAGAGGGGTAGAGGTCATTATGAAAGAGCAAGCACCAGTAAGACTGGTACAAGAAGAGGTGCAGGAAGTGGTTACAGGAAGAGGCCTAAAGTTGTTGGACAAGGTGTATTTGTTGCTGATACTGGATATACGTGTATTAATGTAAGTGTCTCATAAACTGTCAAAATTATATCTGTCTTCTAAATGTGAGTCCCAAAATAACTATGTAGTTGATACTGTAGCAAGGATTGTCTAGCAGAAGGAGGATTCATACTTGTGTGGCGAGTTCTGCACATGTGACAGGTGATATTGGTTTTAAACCTACCAAGGGACTGAAGTGAAAAGACAAACAGGCCATGACTCAAAGAGAACTTCAAGTCAAAAGTGTTATGCGTCGTATTCAAACCAGATCAAAAGCTGATGACATTCAAACAAGGTCACAAGCTAAAGGAAAATCACTCTCAAAGAAAACTTCTTAGTTGTGTGGTTGTGTGGGTGTCCAACCAAACTTGAAATAGTGTTTTATGTTTTGATGGTTCTGTGGTTGTTCAACCAAACTTGAAATAGTGTTTTATGTTATGATGAATCTATGGTTGTTCAAACAAACTTAAAGTAGTTACTGTTTAGTGTTTTGGTGCTTGTGTGGTTGTTCAACTAACCTTAAAGTAGTGATTGTTTTATGTTTTGCTGGTTAACATAAGTTATTGTGGTTGTTGGTTGAAACAATGAAACACTATGATGCTTCTTTTTTATGATCAAGAAAGCACTAGTTATGTTACGTTTGTTGCCTTCATGTTATTATTTCATGGTATCATAGTACCTATTACATGTAAATATAGATTGATCAGCAAAAACATACATTACTAGAACACCAAACCAAACTAATCCACAAAATGAGTACCCTACAACCAAATGATTTTGCCTTAATAACAATTGCATTAAAAATAATTCAACGACACACTAAATAAAAGAACAATACCACATTGCATATCAAACTAATACCCAAAATCAGTTTCAATATCCATTTGCACTTGAGTTGTTTTTCTTGTTTGTTGGTTTTCTTCAACAAACCCAAAATTACAATATTCGCTTGGGTCGGAAGTTCAGGATTATACCAATCAAAAAATTTACAAGAATTTCAAAATGAGGACTGCATTTCATAAAATCAAAGTTAAAAAAATGAAATTGCATAATACGAACTTGTCAAATAAAAAACAAAAAAGGAGTAACAATACATACCCTATAGTGTCTATAACCGAAAAATCTTCGTCCGGAATTGTCATTTGTCCATGAAATTTTCAGAATTGGAGGAGCCCCACTAAACAAACAAGTATCCTGTTATTGTTCATGAATTTAGCAATAACAATTAAAACAAAAAAAGTGAGAAAAATATGAAATTTGAAAAGGGAGAAGGGTTAAAGAAGAATAAATAGGTAGAGAATAGAGAGAGAAAAATTCTTAAAATAATCCAAATATTTAAAAAAAATAGATTTTTACGTATATTGCCGTTGTAACTTAACTTTATGATGTGGCAAAAAATTGCTATCTCACGCGCCTTGTAGAGTTTGATTTCAGTTTCTATACCAGGTGGACAGAAAAGGTGTACGTGTAGGATGAATAAGCAAGTTTAGGGGGTAATTGAAACAAAATAAAGTTTAGGTGTACATTGAGTAAAAAGGTTAAAGTTTAGAAGGATAATGAATACTTTTACCTTCTTTAAATTGTAAAAACTATCTTCTTAAACATCTAACAAATAATAACATAGAAAAATGGACAATTTTTCTAACTTACCAAGGTAAAGGTTGACCTTTACCCGGCATATTCCTTTGAACCAACTTCTTGGAACATCCTTTGTTAGTGCCACGTGTCCAATTTTTATTTTTTTTTAAAAAAATAGCATGCCTAATTTATTTTTCATCCAATAGAGACATAACTACCATGTAACTGTGGAAGGTAGAAAAAACATAAAATCATTTACAAAATAATTAAGGATCCTTAGACAATGATTGAAATTTCATAAATATAGTTTAAAAGGAAAAGGGTCTGATATATCCGTCAACTTCGTCATTTAGAGTTGATATATCCCTCGTTATAAAAGTGGCTCATATATGCCTTTACCGTTATACAAACGGCTCACATATACCCCCTGCCGTTACAAAATGACTCACATATACCCTTCATTTAACGAAAGTTAAAAAATTAGTTTTAAATTTATATTTATTACTTCAATTTTTTTAAAAAAAATTATTTAGGGGTATATATGATTCTTCTATCAAAGTTTCAGGTATATTTTAATTTTTTTCATAGATAAATTATTTTTTGACTTCTTTTATTATAATTATTTGAATTTCTTATTCTTATTTTGTTGTTTTCTTTCATTCCTTAGTTTAAAGAATAAAAAATTAAACTATTTTTTTGTGTGTATTGTAATTTAATTTCGTATTCGAAGAAAAAATTTGGTTTATCTACAATAAGTTTTACAAGAATATTAGTGAAACATAAATAAATTTGATTATCAAAATAATAATTATAAATTAGTCATTGAAACAAAAAAAAGTAAAAAAAAAATGTTTGACAAGGATTAATTTACTCATATGGGATTATATTTTTTAGAAAATAATAATAAAAATTTAGATTAATTTTTTTTTTCATTTCCGTTAGAGAAAAAGGGTATATGTGAGTCATTTGTTTACAAGTAGGGGTATATATGAGCCACTTTCATAACAAGGGATATATTAGCTCTAAATGACAAAGTTGAGGGGTATATCAGACCCTTTTCCCTAGTTTAAATACACTAAGTTCGTATCACTCCTCGAACTCATTTTTGTGTAATTTTGTATATTATTAGATAACATACACATTTCGAGACTTCACATAATTGATGTGCGTGAGATATGTTTGAATGTCATGTAAGCAAAAAATATATACAAAATATTTAAAAAATTAATTTAGAGAATAATAGTATCTTAGTTTAATTAAGAATCTCTCTCTAAAATTTCGATCATAATCTAAAAAATATTTTTTGTCTTATCCCAACAATTAATGAGATGAAAATTAAATGTGAGCTCTATATCTATTTATTTTTTTCTTATCATTATTATTTAAATAGATAAGGAGAGACCCTCTTGTGAAAGTTAAAGACAATAATGCAGTGGAGATATTATTGCTCTTGTTTTATCCTACTTTTATTTTTCTCTCTTCTACATGGAGCCTTGACTTCAATTTCTATATCAGGTTTTTATTTTTTTTCTTTTTCTGCACTAACTCTTCCTTTATATTATTATTGTAATTAGTGTGTTTTTGGTTTTAGTGTATTCAATGTTAGATACCAATTTTTTTTTGCCACAGATAGAATTTTTGTGTACCCAATTTCAACTGGGAGAAATCTTCTTCAGGCTAAGGATGGTAATCTCCATGCTACTTTTTGTGTACTCAAATTAAATATTATTTTATTGAATTTTGATAATTTGTTGTGGGGATATTCTTGGTATCTCATATTTTAATGTCTCTTTGTGTGAAAATTTCCTTTTATTTGGGGAATGAAAAGGGGTTTTCCTTTTTGAAATTTGTTAATTTGTTGAGTCTAGTTTTGTTGCATATTCTTTTGGTGTTGAACTAGGGAATCTCTTTGTGACTAAGCGATAGGTTTTATTTATTTGTACTTAATAAATATGGTAATTTTAATTATTTAAATATTTTTATTCTGCATTTTGATTGGAGATATTAAATAATTATGGATATTTATCCCACCGTATAGAATATATTATCTTATATGTATGATGACATAACTTATATCCCAAAATAATTAATTTCGAAATAACTTATTTCAACCGACACTAGTACTATAGTTATGTCAGTTTACCTCATTTTTCCCTTGGCAGAGGATATCTTTGGGATGTTTGGTTGCAGTCTTGGATAGAAGGAAATCAGAACTAATTTTGGATAAACAATGGCTACTTTGGGGAATAAACTATCCCCATAGTCCTGGATTTCCACAAGGCATAATATACAACCAAAAGCTCAAATTTGACCTTAGCTGGCAATAAGGCACTCTAATTTTATAGTGTACATCTACACACTTCAATTTGGTTTGAACTAATAACTAAGCATTCCAACTCGTCTTTAGTATATCTTATGGACATTCGATGTTAACGTGACACAAATATTTGAGACGTTTAGATGATTATTTTATTAGTTGGAGTGTTCAACTAATAACAACAGAGACGAGCTAAAATGTCTAGATGTGTATATTCAAAGTTGGAATATTTACTTGCCAGTTGAGGCAAAGTTTGAATGTTTGCTTATGCAATATACCCTTTCCACAAACACATTCTTTTCTGTTTTATTTTACTTGTCCCCTATGCTAAAGATAATGGATGTTTTATGTTATTTGTTCATTTTAGTAAATTAAGAGATTTTTATTATTTCTATCCCATGTTATCCTCAGTATTAAATAACTACATAAATTGGTGGTAGTCAAATTGAAAGTTCCAACTCATTATTAATCATTAGTTTAGTAAAATACTCCTCTAAGTAAAGTTGTGCCAACTCAACAATGTTCAAGTAATATGAAATAGAGGGATTAGTTCACTTAGCTGAGACTAAGTTGTTCAAACTCTTCAAAGATATTATGTAGCTACTTTTGAAGAATTCGATACTCATCTGATGATATTTTTGAAAAGTCCGAGCAACATAGGTGTGACAAGTCATTGAATGCTTATTCTTAGATGCAATACGTAATTGATCACTTCACAAACTAACTTGAAAGATAATTTGAGTTTCCTTTACTCAATGCAGCTTGTCCTGTTAGCTTTGAGTTTCAGAACTACACTATCATCACTAGCCAATGCAAGCCACCACGATACCCAGGCAAACAATGTTGCGATGCTTTTTTACAGTTTGCTTGTCCTTTCGTCGAAAGTCTGAATAATCAATCAAATGACTGTATCTCTGTAATGCACGGTTACATCAATCAGTATGGACATTACCCAACTGGTCTTTTTGCCAGTGTGTGCAAAGGTACACAGCAAGGTCTGCCTTGTCCTGCATTAGCACCATCACAATCAGCTGATCGCGATGATACTAGTAGCAGCCAGATAAACTGTAAACTATCACTAGTTTACAGTTTTGCCACAACTTTTATGGGGATCTTGATGTTGATGTTGCTTTTCTGATATTTATATCACAAGAGAACAGGTTTTGCTCATATTTCTGTATTTAAAGGTTTGATTTTTAGATTGTTATTGACGATTTTTTACATATTTATGTATGTATGTATGTATGATTCGATCGATTTGCACCTATATGGTGGTATACCTTATTACACTTGAATTTCCCATGTAGTCATTCTCAATTATGCTATAAGCAGATATGGACCCACATGTATAGATGGAAATGCACATGCACCGGTTAATTAAGAGAGAGAGATATTTGCTTTGAGAAACTAGCAGAAACTAAATACAAAAAACAGCGCCCCAATAAAAAGCAGAGGTTGACACTTAGTACTGCTGATATTGGCCAGTGCACCCACCCTTGTGGACCTCTGTTAGAAACCAGCTAGAACCACATTCTATTGTTTTTAATATAAGTTTTGAATTTAAAGGATAGTAATAATTTAGTGCATCCAAAGTATCCAAGAGAGTTTTTTTTTAGATTAGTTGTCTCCTAAGCACTCAAAGGATATGGTCTTTGAATAACTTTGTAATAAAGTAAATTATGGAAGATAAACAAGACACAAGATAATTATTGGTTGTCTATTACTACTAATTACACAAATGGTTGGTTGGCACAACATGATTACAAGGTATAACAATAAAATATCATTAGCCTAAAAATACTCTTTGAGTCGATCTCCAAATAATGCCCTTACTCTTTTCTTCACTATATCAATTGACTTTAAACATGAAATATCACTCATAATTGGAGAAATCCCCCATGGGAATCCTTGCCTCTTTGTCTCGCGGTGTTGTCAATCCCCCATGGGAATCCTTGCCTCTTTGTCTCGCGGTGTTGTCAATCCTTATCATTTTCAAATAACCCCCCCCCCCCCCCGCACACACACACACAAAAAGATCTTGAAATCCAATTTATTCATTTATTCCAAAACCTAAGAAAAATCGGAAAAATCTAATGATTATGGGATGATAAATACTTATACATTGTAAATGGAGATATACTAATTATATAGTGATTATTCATTCATCATGTATGCACTGATTATATACTATAAACAAAATTTGTGATGTTGGGAAGTTTATTGAATTTGAGGCTTTTCTTTGATGGATTTTAATAGGATACAATATACAGGGTAGATATTCCTAAATATTAACACACATGAAGTATCTTTTGTATCAAATAACATAGGTTGCTAAACTTAAGAGAAATAAAATATATACGACTAAAAATAAATATTCAACTTAGTCCGAAATTTTGACAAAAATAACTTATTAATCGAACAATATTAGTTCATTTTTCCAACAAAATAGAATAACATTCATAAATGATTGAAATAAAAGTACAATAACATGAAATGAAAAGAAAAATGCAACAAAGTAAGACACACACTATGAAAAGAGAACATGCAGAAACAATGATAGAACATTATAATTATTACATTCTCAATCGAGGTCCTTGTAATGTCCATCATCTTCAACATTGACGTCATTGCCTTCTTTAGGTGCAGGCTCTATACCGCTTCCATCCCCTAATGTAGCTATAGTATGAATAAACACCGGGTCATTGAATGACTCTTCCATTGGATTTGCTGATAAGGTAATGTTTTCTTTGTTGGACGGAGGATTTGGAGGCTGGTTTAGTTCTTTCTTTCTTTCATCAAGTTTAGCCATTTTTGCAGCAAACACCTTTAGCAAACCTTTCATTTCTCTAGCATCAAGTTCATTAATACTTTTTCCCTCCACTAGTTCGTTGAAGAGGATTTCCATTTCTTTTGCCTCATTCAGTTTCTGTAATTTGCTAATTTGTTCTTCTTTTTTATCAACTTTCTTTTGAAGATATTCTTCATGTGTGACCAACTTTTCAAGCCTTTTGAACTCAACAAAGCTTAAATACCTCGTCAAGACATCCTGAGCCAGACTTGCGGATTTCCAAGCAATAGGTTGGATTTTTCCTGGCCTAAAAATAATTATGGCGACTTCTATGTCACACAAGATAGAAAGCTCTTCGGCTTTCTTGAACAAACTTGTTTCTCTTAGATCTAAGATGGAGTTTCTCACATTTTCACTGTAGTTCCTAGCATCTCTGAGCCTTTTTCTAGCCATATTTGATACTTGAACAAAAAGAATATTTTCTTTTGGAGTAGAATATATAAAACTTGAAGAGATGTGTGGCTTTTATAGTTGTTAAACAAGAATTATCAATGTAGTCAAATTAAGAACTTTCATAATTTAGGTTCCAAATTTTAAATAATTTGATTAGTGTAATCTGATTTTAAGGAAATTATTATTTTTTTTCCTTAAAAGGATGAATATTGTTAATATTCAAATTGAAATTGTACAGGTCATATTCCATGATTATTTTTGGAGATATATAGATAATAAAACAATTACTCTAACCTTTTTACACGGGCTTATTTGGTTGAAAATGTTTATTGAATATATGCTTTACAAAAGACATTTATATATCCTTAGAAAACATTTTTGCATCAAATTTCAATATTTCGACCGATAAAATTTTTTACGTCAAGCATGGTGTAGGAAAATATAAGAGTACTTCTGATTAATTATAATATTTTTTTCGTTAAAGATTGACAATAATATATCGAATGAAATATGTTTTTATATATGTGATGAGAATTATTAAAGAAGAATAATTCCTTTTTCAAAAATCAGAAGTGTGATGATTCAAAATCATAAGGCATGATGGCACTTGCACTATCCCATTGGTAGGTAAGTCAACCCTCCACCAAAATTAGTATCAAACTATCATACATAAATAATAACATTAGCAAAATGAAGTCTTAAAACTCAAAGCTTTCATAGATATAATAGAAGTGTGAAGGTAAAAAGTATACACATAATTTATTATAACACCTCGCTAATTGAAGGAGCTAGAATTAGAAAGAACCATTTTCTGAAAGTATGAAAATCTGAAATTTGGCAAGAGTTATGTTAGTATGAGGTTTGGGACAAGAGTTAAGTTAGGTATCAATACATGATGATCTAGGTGTGCCATAAGATATTGAATGAGAGGCATTTGAATTATTTTTCCAAAGCCGCCGAGCTTGCTAATTTTTGAGCTGGTATGAGGGAGATATGCCCGTTCGAAGTTGGGGTTGTCTAGAAAAGGAAAGATAACCGAATTTTAAAGGGGTATTTTGGTCTTCTCCGTATCCAATTAATTTAATTCGTTTTTAGTAAATTAATTAGGCTCTAAATTTAATTTGTTTAGTTTACACAATTGCCAAATCACTCTAGGGTTTATAGAGAAAAAACCCAAGAGGAGAAAAGAGATGAAAAGGTCTACATTCGTCGATTTCTTAAGGAATTGATTGCGGATTATCCCAAGGATTTCATCCTACAAGGTATGTGAGTTCAGACAACGTTGGGTTCGTTTACTTACGCGCCAACTATGTTTATTTCAATGTGAATTCGACCTAAATAGTTGAGTGTTTGAATGTTCTTGATGCATGTTCTTGAATTGCTTTCGTTCTTGAATTTGGCATAATATTGATGAGTTTCTTAAGATTATAGTGTTGTTACTAGAGTTGTTTGAGTTGGATTCTTGTTTATATGCTTTGGGTATCTAAATCTAAAGAGAAATTGAGAAAAAGAATCGAAATTAATTGAATTAAGATCACAAAACGAGTTGGAAAGTTAGTCAGATTTAACTAGGGGGAAGTTGGAGCGGCAACCTCGGATGCGCCAGGAGGTTGGGGCATCGCGCCAGCAGTGCATCATAAATGTCTCTCTGAAGTATGGGCAGACGCGGCGTGCCAACAGTGCGCCAGGGTCGTCCGCGCCAACCTGTTTTTCGTCGTTGAGCACGTTTGAGTCCTTCTAAAGTGTACTAATACTTCCTAACGATTATAAATCTCTAAATGACTTCTAAACATCTAGAAATCATCTAGAAACAAGAATCATACATTCTAATTCATAATTTCAAATTCAAGGAAAGTTAAAAGCTAAGTCTAGAGAGTTCTTAGAGTTATTTCAAGAAGTCTTTTGCAAATATTTTAAACTTGTTTTAAGACTTGAGTTTGGAGTTAAATAAAAGTAACAAATGAAATTCATCTCTTCAAAAGTGTATACGGGAGCTAAGTATTCCAAAATAGTAAATGTTTCCACATTTAAAAAAGAAAGGAAACACCAATTTCCAAGAGTTGTGGTTTTTAAACATATGAACTGAGTACATTTTGAAAGTAGTATTGAGCACCGGGGGGAACGAGTTCATAACAACTCAATGTCTCCATAAATCATGTAACAAATGTGGGTAGAAAGGGTCATACTTTTTAGATGATTCTTTAATGTTTTTTAGCATAGACTAGTGGATCCACTTAATTGAGGCGTTTATATCCCGATAGGTTATAGGACAGTTTTGTAAGAATGGGTGAGACCGTGTTTCATCACATAGCTCATAGTGATGGTTGTCGATTAGAGAATCTTCCAAAAAAAGTTTATTTTTGTATTCTTATACACGACTAAGATATTATAGTATTTTCCAATACTTTGTGATATTATCTACTATTTTAAATGATCTATGTAAACTACATCTTTACTGTTGTTTATTTCTACATTGAGTTAAGTTATCCATGAGATGAGTAAAGTTGAGGTAAGTATTTCTTTGAGATTCCATACAAGCTTACATTTTGCTTAGAATTCTCCTCACATGCTTGTACATTCAATGTACTGATATCATTTGGCCTGCATTATTTTATGATGTAGGTACAACTAACCAAGATCAATATCTAGCGCTTCGTTGATCCTGTTGAGCATTCAGAGTCATTTAGTAAGACTGATTGCTTTCCAAAGGTTCCCTTTTTATATTGTTTTAGTATTACAGTTGTTAGGATGATCAAAGGTCGTGTTCCCACATCTCTTATAGTTTTAGAGGCTTCATAGACGGATAGTTATAGTTCATTAGTCTTTCATTTTCAGTTGTTTATATTAAGACTTGAGTTAAATACTGAAGAGCGAGGGTACCTCGTGCACCAGAAATTCAACCCTAATAGGAGTTTATCAATACTGAGTTCAGAGAGGTGATCGGAATGTTAAGTCAAGCTTTGATCAATCAAGATGGATAGAAAGAGAATTGATAGGGAGTGGCAAATACTTCAAGGATTCGTGAGTTTCTAAGGGTGAATCCTCAAAGCTTCATTAATTCAAGTGTCACTAAGGATCTGAAAATTTTTGTAGAGGAACTACGGAAAGTGTTTGAGGTTATGCACGTTGTCAATGCTGAGCGAGTAGAACAAACTGCCTATCAACTGAAGAGTGTTGCTAGGACTTGATCTAACCAGTGGAAGAAGGGTAGAGCTAAGGGTGCACCAATTTTGAGTTGGGGTATGTTTGAGAATAACTTCTTGGGGCGTTTCTTTCCCTGTTAACTGAAAAAACCCAAGGTACGAGAACTTCTTACCCTTAAGAAGGAAATTATAAGTGTTCATGAATACAGTTTAAAGTTCACCGAACTTTCTAAATATACTTCGGAGATGGTTGCTGATATAAGGAGCATGATGAGTCTGTTTGTTTCTGGATTGTCTCGTTTGTGAACTAAAGAGGGCAAGTTAGCTATGTTAATAGGAGACATGGACATAGTGAGACTCACGATTCATGTGCAATAGGTTATGGATGAGAATTTGATGGATATAGAAGAATTTAGAAACATGAAAGCTAAGACAGGAAATGAGTTCGGGTAGTAAAAGAGTAATATGAACCAGTCTTCTTTCAAACAAAAATAAAAGGGACTTGCTTCATCATCCACTAGTGCACCTGCACTCAGGAATAAAGGTGCGTACAATAGTCAGAATTTGCAGAATTTTAGAGCTAGACTGGCTCAGTCTAGGGTAGTGTGGCACAAGTAGGTAATTAAGATACTACATGTGCTAAGTGTGGTAGGAAACACCCAAGTGTTTGTGACGATGGCTCTACTGGTTGTTTCAATGTGGTCAAGAGGGACACTTCATGAAAAAGTGCCCTAAGAGAAGACAATGTAATGGTAATAGAGGCAATAAATCCCAATCTTCTTAGTGGACAGGGATGCACCTAGAGGATCTAGTTCAGGGCCTGGTGGAGGAGCAAAGTGTCTATATGTTATCACTAGTCTACAAAGCAAGAGAATATGATGTCACTGGCATGATCAATGTCTTTAGTTTTGATGCTTATGATTTTCTAGATCTTGGAGCGTATCTATATTTTTTAACTCCTTATGTTACAATGAAATTTTATGTTCTTCTTGAGAAACTTATTGAGCTCTTCAATATTTCTACACTTGTTGGTGAGTTTGAGAGTCTATCTTGATTGTACCATTTTCGTCAATCACAAGATCACCATAGATGATTAAGTTAAGTTAGACATGATAGATTTTTGATGTCATTCTAAGTATGGAATAACTTTATGCTTGTTACGCCTCATTCGGTTGTAGAAATTGAGTTGTTAATTTCGATTTTCCTAATGAGCCATTCTTTGAGTGAAAGAATATTTCATCAGTGCCTACGATTCGTTTTATTTTGTACCTTAAGGCGATAAATTTAGTTTCCAAGGGTTATGTCTATCACTTTGTCCAAGTTAACGATTCTAGTATTGAGACACCTCTTATTCAGTAAGTTCCAGTCGTGATTAGATTCTAGATGTCTTTCCAGATGATTTTCCTAGAGTCCCTTCTGAGAGAAAATAGATTTCGATGTAGATATTCTTCCTTATACTCGTCCTAAATCTATTCCTCCATATAGGATGGCACTAGAGAAGTCAAAAGAACTAGAAGAGCAGTTGAAAGATCTCCCTGAGAAGGGATTAATTCGACCAAGTGTCTCACCTTGGGGCGCTCTAATCTTATTTGTGAGAAAGAAGGATTGTTCCCTTAAAATGTGTATAGATTGCCGTCAGTTGAACAAGGTTACTATCAATAATAAGTATCCTTTTTTGAGAATTGATGATCTATTCGATCAATTCAGTGTGACATTTGTTTTTCAAAGATAGACCTCAGATTTAGGTATCGTTAGTTGAGAGTAAGAGAATGATATTCCCAAGAGAACTTTAAGGACCCACTATAGTCACTATGAGTTTCTAGTTATGTCCTTTCGTTTGACCAATGCTCCAAGATTATTCATGGACCTTATGAATAAAGTATTCAAGCCTTATTTAGATATGTTTTCTATCGTATTCATTGATGACAATTTAATATATATTCTTAGGAGTGAGGAAGATCATGCTAGTAATCTCAGAATAACTTTCCAAACTCTAAAAGGTGAGGAGTTATACGTTAAGTTTTCTAAGTGTGAGTTGTTTCTTGAGTCTATGACATTCTTAGGCCATATTTATTCCATTGATAGGATTT